AAGGAGAGACTAGAACTCAAAGGCTACTCATGATTGGCCCAAAGTTGCCCAGCTAGCTTTCATGTCCAAGATGGGACTAGAATTCAGAGTCTCCTGGTTTCTGGGCCAGCACCTTAACCACTACACCAAACTGGCTCATTTCTCAGGATTTGTACAGCAGTACAAAGCTAGAGGATCTGCAAGATATAGTACAAAAATTCAAGATGACAGCTGCAATGGTGTAATCAAAGCCTCACCCATTTTTAAATGTTTCACGCATGCAAAAAAAAAAAAAATCAAGATGGCGGCAGCCACGACAGTGCAATCCAAGCTCTGCTCGCTTTGATCTCATCATGACAGCCATTTTGTGTGGTTTTTTTTTTCATTGTGTTCAGTGGACATCCCTGCTACAAAGCCAAAACCAGAGACATTATAGCCCAAACTACCTCACAGGGTTGTTGTCATGAGAAAAATAAGAGGCTGAAGGAGTTATTAGATATGTTGACTGCTTTGCATTGTTTATAAACAAGAATAAAGGTGCCTCAAAGGTGTTTTTTTGTTTTCTTCAAAAGGCAACCGGATTGCTGTTTGTTTTTTGTTTTTTTTATTTTTATTCAAATAAAAAAACAGTCCAGCTGCCTTTTGAAAGAAAAAAAGCAAAACAATTTTGAGAGAACTATGACCTGGATTACTGAGAATCTCCATAGGCAAGAATAAAAGTAGGATAAAAATCAAAGAGCGTGGGGTTGGTTTTATTAATTTAATAATTATAAAACAACAACAAAGCTCTGGCTGTTTTAGAAACCTAAGCCATATTCCTCTGGTTTTTAGCTGGATGGGAAAAACCAGGAGAAAAGGCAGTGAAGTTTAAAAAAAATCAACACTGCAAAGCCGAAAGCTTCCCCAGAGGCGATCACAAAAACCCAAGGCCAAGAAAACAAGATAGAGCAAATTTGTCCTCAAATCCCCAGGAGTTGAGCGTGACTTTAAACTTTTCTCTTCTCCTTTGCCATTTTCCCAACAGGGATTTCAAAATAAGTCGCACGCCCCCTCCTTTGTCTCTCTCTGTCAAAACAAGGAAACGGTGACTTTTCTGTGGTGAGGCAGTCGTTAAAAACCCCGGCATCCTGCAGAGAGTTTCTCATTTTAATTATTTTTAGCTTGCAGACTTTAAGAGTCTCCTGAAGCTTATTTCGTCTGCCCAGAATTTGGCCTGAATGCAAACAAAAAAACCAACAAAAAAAATCCTCCAAAATCATAACCCGTGTTGCAAAGTCTTAAGTGCGCACATCACTTTTGTTTTCGGTTTTTGTTATCTTTTCTGAAGGGCTTGCAGGGGGAAAAAAAACCACAACTTTGTGCTGTGCAATGTTCCTGCCAGCAGAAATGGAGGAGGGGCTGTGGAAATGTGCAACTTCTCTAGGCCGGTGGAAATTCCCAGAGACAAGAGGTCTGGGTTTATATTACTTCACCTTGAGAAACCGCAATGTTTTTGATAACCACTTTCCCTCTTCTCTCACTTCGAGCAGCTCATCCTGGGACCTCTTTCTTAACCGTCCACAGGCAGTCCTCGACCTACGACCGCAAAAAGGGGGCCACAAATTCCATTGCTAATTATTGAATCAGTGGTGCCCAATCTTACCATTTTTTTGGGTCACGGTTGCTAAGTGAATCACGGCAGCCGTTAAGTGAGTCACGCAGTCGTTAAGCAAAACCAGCTTCCCTCGTTTGACTTTGCTGCTGGGTAGGTCGCAAAGGGGGGGATCACAACACCCCAGGAGGCTGCAACCGTTGTGAATACATGCTAGCTGCCAACCACCCAAATTTTGATCATATATGACGGTGGGGAGTGCTGGGACAGTCGTTAAGTGTGAAAAACAGTCATAAGTCAGTTTCTCAGTGCCAGTCACTAAACGAACGGTTGCGAGTCGAGGACTATTGGAATTCCTCCAAATCCTATCTTAGCTTTTCTTCTAAGATAATAGAAAAACAAGAGTTGGAAGGGACTTTGGAGGTCATCTAGTCCAACCCCTGGCTCTGGCAGAAACAGCAGGCAGAGACCTGCTAACTGTTCCAGGCAACCTCTTTGGAGCTTGAGGTGGGATGGCTGGAATGAAGTGTGCTTGTGGCATGTGTGTGTGTGTGTCAGAGAGAGAGAGAGGGAGAGAGGAGAGAGAGAGAGAGAGAGAGAGAGAGAGAATCCTATCTAACAGAATAACAGAGTTGGAAGGGATCTTGGAGGTCTTCTAGTCCAACCCCTGCTCAGACAGGAAACCTTATACCAGAGGTCCCCAACCTTTTGGGCACCAGGGACCGGTTATGTGGAGAGAGGTTTTTCTGTGGACTGGAGGTTGCGTGGTTTTGTGTGTTGCCTGCATCCTGTGGATGGGGCTTTGCTTATCTGTGCAGCCCAGTTGCTGGCATGCTGCAGCCCGGTACTGGTCCACGGGCCAGGGGTTGGGGACCCCTGCTTTATACCATTCCAGACAAATGGCTGTCCAATCTCTTCTTAGAAGCCTCCAGTGTTGGAGCACCCACGACTTCTGGAGGCAAGTTGTTCCATTGGTTAACCTAACCGTTAACACAGCAACTTCATTCCCAACCTCTGTGTTATCTATCCTGTTATCTATCCAGCTCCCACAAATCCTGTTATCTATCCAGCTCCCACAAGACTTAAAAGTTGCCAAGGCTGGACATCCTTGATCTATACTTCTAAAATCCTTGTACCTTATCTGTAACCTTTTACTGAGCAAAACAATGCATTCCAGGGCAGAACATTTTTTTTTAACCAAGGTATCTCAAATGGACTAATTCACAAGAATCTGGGGCCCCTGGCTCCCATGGAAATGTATGAAATTTGACAAATTTCGTAAAACATTTCATGACCTAAAAATGATCCATGTTTTACCAGATATTATAAAAATGTCATAAAACCTTTCCGGTACTCAGCTGCTAATGTTTGACTGTATTATACAGTTCAACATGGGCTATTTTCAAGGCAGAGACATCTCTGAATGGCTCCCTCAATTTTTAAGAAATTTTCAGTGGATTAGAAGCTCTGCCATTGTTGGAGGCAGTGAGGAATCTGGTAAGGAATCTGGTGTCTCTGAAATGATGACTCACTGGTTGTCTGGTTTGTCATTATTCTTGTGTAAATCTTGTGTTTCTCTTGTATAACTCAAAGCGATGGACATAATGCTCCCTCCTCCTACTTTCTCTACAACAACCCTGTGAGGAGGGTTGAATTGTGAGAGAGTAACTGACCCAGTTGGCTTTCATACCCAAAGCGGGACTAGAACTCACAGACTGTTGGTGATTGGCCCAAAGTCACCCAGTTGCATTTCATACCTAAGGCAGGACTAGAACTCACAGACTTCTGGCGATTGGTCCAAAGTCACCCGGCTGGCTTTCACATCTATGGGAGAAACAGAACTCATCACCTCCCAACTATGGGAGAACTAGAACTCGCCCCCTTCCAATTTCTAGTGCAACCATCACACCAAACTGGTTCTCAAATTGCCCTGGGCCCAGTGGGTGCTCCATCACTGGAAGTTTTTAAGAACAGACTAGTCCAGGGGTAGGCAACCTTGGCTCTTTTATGACTCATGGGACTTCAACTCCCAGAATTCCTGAGCAAGCCACGCTGAGGGCAAAAAGAGAGGTTTCCAAGCTGAGCCATGCTGGTTCAGGAATTCTGGGAGTTGAAGTCCACGAGTCATAAAAGAGCCAAGGTTGCCTACCCCTGGACTAGACAGTCACTTGTCTGAAATGGTATAGGTCATGGTGTCAAACATGTCATGTGACGTGTTGTGACATATTGCAACTTTTTTTGCATTGCTGGAGCTGGGGTGGGCCCGGTCTCCATATGATGCAACTGGCCGGTGAGCCAGCAGTATGACACCCCTGGTATACATTCTCCTGCTTGAGCAGAGGGCTGGACTAGAAGACCTCCAAGGTCCCTTCCAGCTCTATTCTATTCTATTCTATTCTATTCTATTCTATTCTAGTCTAGTCTAGTCTAGTCTAGTCTAGTCTGTTTGCTAATCTGGGCCTTGTGACATCCTGCACAAGCTGAAAACTTGAATCCAGCTCCGATTCAACCTTCCCCAATTTGGAAGTGTCTGACTCAGTTGGAATACAAAACCCATCAGCCAGCAGGGCTGAGCTTCCAGAGGGCTTACATGCAGGGGCCTTTGGGGCCTCCACATAAAACCAGGAGAAGAATGAGCCAATTTCTCCAAGTTGGGTGAAAATCCATGTTATTGCCCCTTTGTTTGCTTGCCGCTGGTTAAAGACAGCAGGCGAACGCTCCTCCTGCGCGCACATGCACGTCCAACAAGCAGCTTTCTCACAAACCATGGCTTATCAATTACACTGTCTGGGCCCCGAAGCACCCGCCGGCCGGCCCGAGGTGGGCAAACTAGCCCCAATCGATCCCACAACAGGGGCAGCCGACACTCGGGACACCTCGGTCCGCTTTCCTGGAATCAACTCGACCGATTCCAGCGAGGATCGGTGAGCGCGATGCCCAGCGGAGGAGCCCCTCGACGGAGCGGTCTTCTCTGTTGCGGGACCTCCCCATCGTCCGGCCGGACTTCGCCGGGCTCGCTGGGGCCACTGCGCCACCCCCCCTTCCCTCTTCCCCGGGGCAGGGCAAGAAGGCCGCCGTCCGGGCAACCGCCAACGCCTCGAGGGCGCTCGGACTCGCCCGACGGCGGCGGTTAGAGTCGCGGACGGTCCCGGGCAGCCGCCGTTGCCAGCCAGCCAAGCGAGAGATCCTGCACGCAGGCCGGCAGCAACAGCAATAGAGGCCGCTGCTCTCCGGGCAGGAAGAGGAAGGAAGAAAGAAAAAAAAGCCACAAACATAAAACAAAACAAAACAAAAAAAACCCCACAACGCAACAGCCTCCGCCCCCCCGCCCCCCGTTTCTCCCTGCGCACTGGCCGATCCGCAGTCCTTGAACCGGTTTCGCTGGTTTGGCGATTAACTTCCCCGCCCCTCGAGCCCCGCGGGCGAGACGCCTCTGCTCCGGAGCCGAGAGCGCCCAGAGCTTTGCGAGGAGGAGGACGCGGCCGTTGCGCAGCGGGGACTCCGACGGCCTTGCTCGCCCGGCTCGCTTTGCCCTCGCCCCGTCCAGCCTTTGCAGCAGCAGCGGCCAGACGCTCCCCGAGCCCTTCAGACGACCGTGTGCCTTTCCTGCTCGTTTCAGCCCGAGCGCCGGAGCCCAGAAGGAAAGCCAGCCGTCGGAGCGCCATGGCGCAGTTGCGTCTTCGGGCTTGGCTCCTAGCCGTGGCCTTAAGCGCGACCCTCCGCTTCTGCCAAGCAGGTGAGTCAGATCGCGGGAAAAGCAAGCAGGCAGGCAGGCTGGGGGTCAGCGGGTTGTGTGAACCCAGCCGACGGGGCCGGTCAGAAGCTGGGTTAAGGGGCAAAGCCCTGGATCGACAAATGGTGTGTATTGTATAAGAATAGCGGGCCAAGGCAGCCAGGCTCTTGCACACTTCCTTAAAAAGTCACCTAGGAGAGTGTAAGCAACTTCAGATGCCTTTGGGATGTTTGGGACCTCAAACTTTTCAAGTCACAGGTCAGGAATTGTTCCAGAAAACATCTGGACGCTGCGGCTTTCCTATGAACTACCTTGGATTAGCCAAGGGGAGCATCTCCGCCAAGCGTAGATAAGGCCAGCTTAATGCCTCAGACCAAGACGTGATTTCTTGTCGTCTTGGGGTCTTATTATCGTGGGATGAGGTCATCTTTCGCTAAGCCACAAACCATAATGCACAAAAGACTGGGTTCACACGCACAGGGGAAGCGAAACCGAGTAAGCCATTTTTATTTATGCAATATTATCTAAATCCTAGTGCAGTCCAGGTGCGGAACCAAATAGGCGGAAGTCCTTTCTCAGCCTCAGATTCCTTGGATGACTTTAAGCCAGTCTTAATTGCTCAGCTCAGCCTACTCCTAAGGCAGTGGTTCTCAACCTTTTTAATGCCGTGACCCCAACTGGTCGTAAGTCGAGGACTAAACCGGTTGTAAGTCGAGGACTAAACCGGTCGTAAGTCGAGGACTAAACCGGTCGTAAGTCGAGGACTACCCAACCGGTCGTAAGTCGAGGACTTTCCCTGCCCGGGAGCGCCGCGCATGCGTGGTTCCGCCCCCTGCGCCGGCCGAGGCGTAGCTGGCAAGCGGCAGAGACGGAGCAGGACGACCACCAGCTGGCCCAGCCCAAGGGAGGTAAGGCACCTGCTGGAAAAGGGGAAAAAAAATGGCGGACAAAAAAAATGGCGGACAGCCTTGCTTGGCGACCCCCATGAAATGGTCGATCGACCCCAAATGGGGTCCCGACCCACAGGTTGAGAACCACTGTCCTAAGGCTTTGCGTGATTGTGTGCCATCAAGTTGTTGTTGTCTCCTAGGGACCCCATAGATCTCCATGACAATCTCAACCCTTACCTGATGTTTCAGGTATTCCAACAATACACTTCTATAACCAGGGCCGTTTCCCCCCCCTTGTTGCTGGTCATCAGTATCTCTTCCTTTCCCGTTTTTCCAGCATTAGACCCTTCTCCAAAAAGCTGGATCTTCACACCGTGTATCCAAAATGCAGGCAGTCCTCGACTTACGATAAAAACTGAGCCCAAACTTTTATGTTGCTAAGTGAGGAATTTGTTAAGGGACTTTTGCCCCCGTTTTACGACTTTTCTTGCCGCATTTGTTAATTGAGGCACTGCAATTGTTAAATTAGTAACATGGTTAAGTGAATCTGCCTTTGCCCACTGACTTGGCAGAAGTTTGCCAAAGGGGATCGCGTGACCCCGGGACACTGCAGCCGTCATAAATGTGAGTCAGTCGTCGAACATCCGAATTACGTGACCTTGGTGCTGCAAGGGTCGTAAGTGTGACAAACAAATGGTCATAAGTCACTTTTTTCAGTGCCGTTGTCATTTTGAACGGCCGCTAAGTGGACTGTTGTAAGTTGAGGACTACCTGTAGAGTAATTTGAGACTGGTCATTTGTGCCTTGAGTAGAGATCGGAAGGCCTGGAAAAAAATTGGAAAAGTTTGGGGAAAAAATGTGGGTTTTTTCTGTTTTTTTTTTTTTCTTCCTTTTTTTCCAAAGCTGGAAAAAAAAGGGGGAGAAAAACAATTCCCCCCTCCCCTAATTTTTCCAGGTTTTTTTTTTCGGGCCTTCCCATCTCTAGCCTTGCGTGAGAACTCTTTGAGTTGATTTCTTTAATAATCTACTGGTTTTCTTGACCACCCACGGCTTTCTCAGAGGTCCTCCTCCAACATCAGAGTTCAAAGGCGTCAATACTCATCCCTAGCCTGCTTCTTCCGAGTCCAACTTTCACTTTCGTAAAGTGTCCCAGGGACTACCACGGCTTGCACAATCCTGACCTTTGTAGACGGCGACAAGCAAAGATTGCGTAAACTGGTTCGAGTTGCAGAAAGGCAGAGAATACTGCATAAATCCCGACAAATAACCGACAAGGTTAAAACCGTGGGGTAGGAAAAATGGGATGTGACTGCAGTGCAAAACATTTTCTGCTGGGTTTACCTTTTTTTAAAAAAAAAAACAAAAACAAAAACCTGCTCACAAACCTCCATTTGGTGGTAGGACAGAACGTTTCGTGCAGAGGAAGCTCCGTCTTTAGTCGCTGGAAGAGGTGAGGCAGGTCAGGAGAAAACATGTATATCGTTGGACGTGTGTAATCCTGGTCTCAAGGATTTCCTCTTTTTTTTTCTTTTTTCTTTTTTTAACGTTTAGTTAACGTTTAGCTGAATGTTGACATTTCTGAAAGGAGGCACTTTTCATGACTTGGAGATGGGGGGGGGAGGGCAGCTGGGAAGTTTTTTTTCTCCATGCTTTAAATGGCTTCGGAGCAGAGCTGATGGGGACATGTTTGTGAAAAGAGCTATCTATCTATCTATCTATCTATCTATCTATCTATCTATCTATCTATCTATCTATCTATCTATCTATCTATCTATCTATCTATCTCTGTCTACCTACCTACCTACCTACCTACATTTATCTGTCTGTCTGTCTATCTCTGTGTATCTATCTCTGTGTATCTATCTATCTATCTATCTATCTATCTATCTATCTATCTATCTACATCTATCTATCTATCTACCTACCTACCTACCTTATATCTGTCTGTCTATCTATCTATCTACCTATCTACCTATCTATCTACATCTGTCTGTCTCTCCTGTCTGTCTGTCTGTCTGTCTATCTGTCTGTCTGTCTGTCTGTCTGTCTCTCTCTCTCTCTCTCTCTCTCTCTATCTATCTATCTATCTATCTATCTAATAATAATAGATTTGGACGGGACCTTGGAGGTCTTCTAGTCCAATCCCCATGTCTGTCCAGTCTCTTCTTAAAAACTTCCAGTGTTGGAGCATTCATAACTTCTGGAGGCAGGTTGTTCCACTGATTAATTGTTCTGATTAATTGTTCAAACAGATCTATCTATCTATCTATCTGTCATCTATATTTTGCTTGCTGCTCATCTTACTACAGAATAACAGAGCTGGAAGGGACTTGGAGGTCATCTAGTCCAACTTCCTGCTCAGGCAGGAAACCCTATACCATTTCAGACAAATGGCTGTCCAATCTCTTCTTAGAATCCTCCAGTGATGGAGCACTGGATTGTTCTAATTTTCAGGAAATTTCTCCTTGGTTCTAGGTTGCTTCTCTCCTTGATTAGTTTCCATCCTTTGCTTCTTATCCTGCCTTCAGGTGCTTTGGAGAATAGCTTGACTCCCTCTTCATTATGGCAGCCCCTGAGATATTGGAAGACTGCTATCGTGTCCCCCCCTCGTCCTTCTCTTCATTAAACTAGACATACCCAATTCCAGCAACCGTTCCTTATATGTTTTAGCCTCCAGTCCCCTGATCATCTTTGTTGCTCTTCTCTGTACGCTTTCTAGAGTCTCAACATCTTTTTCATATCGTGGTAACTAAAACTGGATGCCATATTCCAAGTGAGGCCTTACCAAGGCCTTGTAAAGTGATATTAACACTTCACGTGATCTTGAAGCTTCGAAGCAATTCCCGGAAGCTTACAGCACTAAAAGCAATAAAACTATGACAGATAAATGTTTTTAAAAGGGGTGTTTTCTCCTTCGTGGGTCATTGCCTTGTGGTAGCAAAGGTGCTTGTGCAGATCAAAGAAGCAATGAGCTAAGCCATGCAGGGCCACCCTAGACGGACAGGTCACAGTGGAGGCTTGTGACAAAACATGGTCCCCTGGAGTAGAAAATGGCAACGCAGTTCAGTATCTTTGACAAGAAAACCCCACGGGTGGTACCCAAATACTTTTTTTTTTTTTTAAATGGTGTTTTGCTTGATCTCGAAGTGAAGTTCATTTGGATTAAAGGTGCAGATGTGTAAGATCTTTGTGAAGAAAACATTCAGCAGGATACAGAGAGAGGGGGAAGAAGGAGGCTGTTATTAAGAAGTAAACATCTCTGAATTATCTCCAGCAAAGCATCCCGAATTTCAGTTTTATCTGCAACTTTTCCTTGGTTGCGCTGAACGTCAAGGCCAGATTAAAAGCATGTATCCTTGAATTATATTAGCTTGCTGGTTGGTTAGATTGATAGCCTGCCTTTGGTTAGCACCTGAAGGCAGCATACCTGCTGCCAGGAGAATTTGCAGCAGGGGTCAACGTTTGCAAGCTCGGAGCTGCAATTGTATAGATTTTGAGCATTCCTTCATTCCCCCCCCCCCCCACAATAACCTAGGGTGTTGGCTGGGCTAAGAGGGTGGTAATTGGCCCAGAGTCACCCATGAAGCTTCTAAAAAGGGAAGTGTTGGAGCATTCACCGCTTCTGGAGGCAGGTTGTTCCACTGGTTAATTGTTCTCACTGTCAGGAAGTTTCTCCTTAGTTCTAGGTTGCTTCTCTCCTTGATCAGTTTCCACCCGTTGCTTCTTGTCCTGCCTTCAGATGCTTTGGAGAATAGCTTGACTCCCTCTTCTTTGTGGCAGCCCCTGAGATATTGGAACGCTGCTATCATGTCCCCCCTCGTCCTTCTCTTCGTTAAACTAGACATACCCAATTCCAGCAGCCGTTCCTTATATGTTTTAGCCTCCAGTCCCCTGATCATCTTTGTTGCTCTTCTCTGCACTCTTTCTAGAGTCTCACAATCTTCTTGCTAATCTATTGGGTAGTAGCAAGAGGTGCATTGATGGATGGATTGATTGACGATGTGCCATCAAGTCCGTGTTAAACTCTTAGCCAATACATACAGGTAGTCCCCAGTTTATAATCACAGTTGGCACCAGAATTGCCTTAACAAGTCAGTTGTTAAGTCGTAGCCTATTTTATGATGTTTTTGCCACAGTTGTCAGGCAAATCACTCTAGTTCTTAAGTGAGTCATGCTGTCAGGAAGCGAATCTAGCTTACCCCGTTGACTTTGCTTGTCTGAAGCTGGTTGGGAAAGTTGCCCAGGATGACCTCATGACCCTCCAGGATGCTGCAATTGTCATAAATACATGCCAGTT